TAGGAAAGTGTTTATTAGGGTGGAAATTTAATTATTCAATAATTTTTTTCTTTTAAAGAAAATTGATTTTGATGTTTTCAATGCCACCATAGTAACAAATATTTGAAATTAAAAACAAAAAAACACAACTAAATTCAATGAATGAATGAATGAATGAATGAATGAATGAATGAGGATTGCTTGTTTTTGGGGGTAATAATATCAACAACAAAAAGAAATAAAGAAGGAGAAGACAGTTGTTCATTTGAAAAAAAGAGTTAGATACAATTTCAATGAACTGACTTTGACCTTAAAGATTGAAATATAAAATAAGTTAATCAATGAAGTGGTTATTTTATTTATATATTTAAACATAGAAATATTGGTGGATGTGTCGCTCAATTTCGTGGATAAGTCGAAGTTAGACATTAACACCGTCGGATGACAGCCGGCTCAGTGGTCTAGTTGGCTAAGCGCCTGGCGCGAGACTGATAGATTCTGGGTTCGAATCTCGCGAAGCGGGGTCGTAGATGAGCATTGCTGAGGAGTCCCAAAATACGACGAAACGGCCGTCCAGTTCTTCCAGCTTTTCCATGGCGGTCTAGCTTCATGATCTCAACTGTTGAAATTATATAAATATTTGTACAAAGAGGCAACAAATACGTATGTCACACACTTCGTCATTTGATTTATGTGGGGGTTGGGATCTTACACGAGCCTTTAGACTGAAACAGTTAGTTTTCTTAGGAGAACACTTTCCGGAGCCTTTGATCTAAAGGTCTGGTCCACAAGGCTGTGGAGCAATGTAAGGAGATGCAATCCAATAGTTGCCGGTGTCCAAGAATAGGTTCATACACCATTTGTTCCTTCGGGGTCCTTGAACCGATGTACACCATTTGTTTGAATTCAGGGTTTTCCAACATCTTTAAGTGGACTCTCTGTGTTCACAAACTCGGTTAAAGCTCCGGACATTCGTGTTTCGTCGTTTTAATTTTGTAAAGAACACCCCCGTCACGAGAAAGCAGTGCGTAGGACTTCCGTGATAGTGATTGTATGCACGTGGCCATGCGAGAGGATTTCGAGAGAGAGAGAGAGAGAGAGAGATGACTCTTTCCACCTTCCGCCGAACCAGGGCATTTGGGAGTTAGTGGTTACAGATCGGTTTATGTTTAGACCAAAGCGATTTGATTCTAACTCAGTATTATAATGAAGGTTAAAAGCTTGTTGTGTGACCTGGAAAATCCGAGTTCAATAATTAGTGGATTAGTGAATGTTTAGTGTTTAGGAGGACTTACACTAAAACGAATGATTTGTTTAGTGCTCTTTAGTTTTCAATGACTGTTGAAATAAGATTAGTCTGTGATGTACAACGGAAAAATAATCAAATGTTGTCTGTAGTGAAGGAGAACACGGGTGAGGACAACCAAATTGAATTTAGGACAAATTACAGAATTACTTGGTAAAATAGAAAAACCATTTAGTAAATCGTTAATTTGCAAAATATCATTCTATCATATGAAACCGGACAGTTGCTGTGGCAAACATCAATTCATTGTCTTGCATTTCATTGTTCATGCGATTTCTTACAAATTCCATTGTTTTCCCGCTCTTCTTTTCTTGATCTTCTCCATCTTCTGCTGCCAGACATTACGTTCTTTTGACTCACGTTATATACTACTTATATCAATATAAGTAGCACGCACCACATGTCTACTGAAAAGTATAGAAATTTACTTAGTTATAATTTTCAAGTATTTTCAAGAGAATTTCATCATGTATGGAAATTGGCTAAAGGGTGTTCGGAGACAAGCGAAGTAATGGTTAACTGGTTCATCTTGTTTTAAGATTTCTTAGCAATCTATTTTTGTAGTCATGTGGTATATTGTACCAGTCAGCTTCAAGTCTCTTAGTAACCACTTTACATTTAAATTATTGAATTGCCAACTAAACAGTACACATTGTTCAACATCATTAGTTTGACAAAATAGTTCATTCACCTCCGTATTCGTAAAATTCCAGTTTTGACTACCTTTGAAATAGAAATACTCTTAATCTGCTTTGGTTTTTAAAATGTAGTCAATCTGTTTTCATTTTATGAGGAAAATCATGTCCAAATTACAAACACATAACCTCACAAAACGTCTTAGACAAATGTTTGTCGATTTAGAACAAGAAAAAACTATTTATTAAATTATAATTAGAGGTAATGAAGGCTAGCAGTGGAATCTAAGATGTGGGTTTCATCCTATTCGGGACTCGTTAGCCGGATGTACCTGCATCCTAGAATTGATGTTTACTTCGACACTCAAACCCAGTGCCGTTCGCATCACACACCATCGGGTTATCCACTTAGCTGCCAAGTCCAGATGGCCAATACAAAACTGAATTAAACTTCATCCCGTTGCACAAGTCAGTGACTATCTGCATTCAATAGCTAAATGGATAACACGATGTTATTTTAAGTGAATGGTACTGGGTTCGAGTCCTAGAGTGAATGGAACGAACGTCCTGAATTCCATTAATGGACACCATCATTGCCGTTTATAATGTTTTTGACTTAAGATAATGTCGAAGGAATCCTCACAAGATGCACTCCTAAAAATCAATGGGAAGATTCAAACAACCAATACATTCTAACTTCATTACCTTTGATAACCCGAACACTTAGCTCAAAATACTCCAATAGTAACTAAACATTGAATCATAAAAAAGTATTTGTATCCACTTAATCTGTTGTTAGGTAAATCTTTCATATGACTGTTGCTAACACTAAAATATGTTCAAATATACAAATATTCTTAATTCGAGAATACATTTGATCATGCTTAATTAACTTTGAAGTACTATCAAATAATGTTTATTCATGCATCTATTCTAATATCAGCTTATTCGGACCAAATGTTACTTCATTATGAGCACATCAAAACTAGTTGACACAATTGTTTCATGTTTCATATTCAATAACAACTTAATTTTATATCAACTTAGTTACACATTAAGCATAAATCTTTACAATCTTCTTTACTATTCATTAAAAGTATGACTTGTTAACAAACCAATCAGATTTAAGATGGCAAACTGTCGATTCAAAATGCAGTGACGGATAACTTATATCTTATTAAAAAGTAAGATATATGTAACATTTTATGAACATTTAGTTACCAAGACAAATCAAATTAAGAAATATGATTAGTTTAAAGAATAGGGACTGATTTCAAGGATTCTTTAGATGATGTCAAGAATCTGATGAATTTTCTATGGAGGAATTAATAGAAATCAAATGGAATGGGAATGCACATATGACTAAAATTAAATTAAAATTATTCACAATTAAAGCTTTTTTTCCAAGTTATTCGTAAACACTACTGTTCCCTCTTACCATTAGCCCTAAATCATAAACCAATCAGCTTATGATAATAGGATTCTGGGGGAAATTTTGGGGTTTTGGTGCCACTTCCCCAAACTTTTCTATAGCGGCTTCCCCAAAATCGGGAGATCGGGAAGGCTCAAAATTTTAATCTTAACGTATTTTTGAGGTCTTATTTGAGTAATTATTCATTTACATCACCTTTATTCTGATTGGCTAAGATTTGATAGATACTAATTTTTCCCAGTCATTTTGAGATTCATTCAACATCAACAGTAAAGTAGGCGAGACTCTAATTTATGGACGAGCCGATCAGAAGCATTTGAGAGATTTCAAGGTTACGGCGCCAACTTCAGTGCTTAATGCTAACGTACGATCGGTTCACATGGAATGTGGTACAAAACGTGATAATTGAGAATCCATAACAAATAAAATGGCGGGACTATAACTTGTGGACGAATCAATGAGGTATAAGATATTAGATCTCGGATTATAACGCGAAAGCCTTTTATCCATTTGGCTAAATAAAATTTCTGGCATTACAGCTGATGTCAGTTCGTGATGAAAACCCCATATATAATTGCTAAAGCAAATTATGACAATTATTGCGAACTGGATAATAAAAGCACCAGTAACGCTGGCTGCAGCCAGGTACTACAATATATACGGATGTTTGGAGAGCGTACAGACTCCTACATAGACTTGGTCATGTGTGTCGTGTCGTTATCCACAAGTAGCATTTGGTGCACTCAACAACCAGAGTGCACATAGACAATGTTGAAGCTATGTGGTCGAGGCTGAAAGAGTTTTTGAGACTTTATCATGGCTCCAGAGGCCGACTATTCTGTAGCTGTATGGATAATTTCCTCTGCTGCATGTATAACGATTTTATAACCTCTGAATCTCTTTCTAACCTCGACAAATTTTTGAACCACGTTAGAGAAGTGTATCCACTTTATTTCCTTGGTTTTGTATAACATATATTTACTCTATACTGACTGTTTGCTGATTGACTAATATTTCTCAAAGTCACTTAAGATTCGTTCAAAGGTTGTCTATAAATTAGAGTCTCGCCGTAAAGTAGATTTCTATTTTATTTTATTTATTTATTTGAACACATAAATATCGGTACAAAGAGGCACCAAATAGATATGCGCCACACAAGTCACTTGATTTGTGATCGGGCTGTAATACTGTCCGGGTGCGCAGACCGAAGTAAGTGACCTTCTTAGGATGCCACACCTGGAGCCTTTGATCTAGAAGTCTGATCCACAAGACAATGGAGCAACGTAAGGAGATGCACTTTCATGGTAGCCGGTGAACAACAATTGGTTCATGCACCATTTGTTCCGTCAGGATATTGGAGCCCATGTATACCATTGGTTTGGAATCAGGGTTTTCCAACTTACCTAGATGGATTCTCCATATCCACCAACCTGGTTACAGCGCCAGACATTCGATTTTCGTCCTCTCAATTTCGCAAACAACAGTAATGCTGCTAAAGATTAGTGAGTAGGAGAACTGACTTTCTCTACTCTCGGCCGTTCCAGAGTATTTGGGGATGGATTTCTATCTTCAATCTACTATCTCTAAATAAATAAATGAATGGACAAATATAAATTTTTCCCCTCTCTTTGTTTATTATCTTTTCCAGCGTTTATTCACAGTAATATTAGAAGCATATGATTTAGTTAATCAAAATGAAAAATATTTAATTGATCGAGCTATACATCGTGGTCTGTTACGTCCATTAATTTCTTCTACAAAACAATCTACAGATTGGCATCAAGTTACTATATCCACACAATATTCCGGTTATACATTTTGTATACAATTAACATGTGAACTAAATCATTATGGTAATGATTGTACAAAAGTATGTCAAACAAATGATAATCATACAAAATTTAAATGTGATGCAAATGGTGATAAAATATGTGAACCTGGTTGGAGTGGAACTGAATGCGATAAAGGTAATTCAGTGAATTATTTATTATTCTGTCTGTTTATCTTTAACATTCTACAATATTTTAATTTGTAAGTAGCATCCGTCATAAATTGATTTCATATGAGGTATCAAAGAAAACCAAGATGATCTAGATAAGTGTTTTATGCCAGTAAAGAACAACCTAGTAATACATATTCGCTAGAAATCATAACTGGTGGGATTCGGGCACATCGGGGATGAGACATTTATCATTAATAGGACTGGATAATCATTAAACAAAATATGGAAAGCTGGTTGAAATTGAAATTGTACTATTTGACACCGACCCACTGGTTCCAATGACTAAGCGTTTGCCTTATTATCATTATTACTGTAGGTAGTTTATAGAGACTGTTGGCTTTAATAATTTAAATTCGATGGCCGGTTGGATTTTGAGTGTGAACTTCTATAGAGTCTCATACTAAGACCAACCGGTTGTCTGGTACTCCTTGATGAGTTTATTCTGTGATGAATATAACCAGTTATTTTTCATGCCTATTTGTGTGATGTAAATATTTTTCATATGGGGAATCATGAATACAAGTTATTGGACTGATCCTAACTAATTTCTAAGTGATTACCATTTAATGGTTAAGTTCATGAATCAACTGAAGCTAGACCACCATAAGAAAATTCGGAAGCACTGGACAGTTGTTTCGTCCTAGTATGGGGCTCCTCAGCAGTGAGCAGCTACGATACCACCTAGCAGGATTCAAAACCGGCACCTATCAGTCTAGCACGCGAGCGTTTAACCTCTTGATCATTGGGCCGGCATCCATGTTGGTCTAGCTTCAATTGACTTATGAACTCAATCATTATTATTATTAAAATATCCACAAAAAAACCTTCTGATTACTATTTAGTTTGATTCTACTTTCATCATTGTTCATAGTGCTGACATACTTAGTTGTATCATATTTTCGACACCCTCACGCTGGGAATAACTAAAATTCACTTGACAAGAGCCATATTTTTCCCTCTTTTAAATGAAATATTGTAAGTAATACAGGTTGAAGTGTTGTTATTTAAATCGAGGCAGCAACTATCGGCGTTGAATAAACTAAGGGATTTCATTTGGATATTATTGTAGTGGCTTTGCTTCGTTAATCGACCACCTCTATAGCCGTTATAATATAAAACTCAACGGTGTTTGAAATCAGAAAGCAATGAGAAGCGGCAACTACAGTTTATTAGCGAGTAGCCCAAATCACAAAGCTATAAGCATATTAAGCGAATTTGAAGAGGAGAGGTGAATAAGTATATATGAGCAAATATATAGGCAACTTTATAGTCATCAAATTGCATAAGGGCACATCAAGCAAAAGCAAAAACTAATAATAGGATTTGAGTACATATGCACATGAATGAATCATCGACTGATATTTAAGCGATCAACATTTAAGCTCCAGTCCGTCATTTGCTCTAGTGATCATAACAGTACAAAGAAGTTGACGTATTGCTACTGTTCAAATAACATTGTCTGTTAAGTAGATTGATGAAAGGGCTTAACAAAAATTAACCATGATAGAAATCGATTGTAGGATAGCTGTTATATTATATCATCCATTTAACCCATATTTTAGTACAGTAGTTAAGAGCATAACGTGATGGTGTTTGAAGCGAACGGTAATGGGTTTGAGTCCCAGAATGAACATCAACTCTCAGATGCAGGCACATCCAGCTGATAAGTCCCAAATAGGACGAAAGGAACATCCTGTATTCCACTGCTAGCCACTAACCATTTTTACCTAAAAAGGCTTGTGATCTAAGGCTGTATCAAGGTAATCCGCCCAGGATATTTATATGCCAACAAAAATATTGACGATTGTAATGAAAAGATTTAAATTGATTAAACTAGTGACATTTTTGGTTGAGATCATGAATTAATTGACGTTAGACCACCGTTGGAAACCTGGAAGCACTGAACGGCCGTTTCATCCTAGTATGGGACTCCTCAGCAGTGCGCATCCACATTTTTATTTTATTATTATCTAAACAACTATTACTCCCAAATGCTTTGGTACAGTCGAGAGTGAAGAGAGTCAATTCTCCTACTCACTAACTTTTAGCGGCATTACTGTTGTTTACGAAATTGAAAGGACGAAAATCGAATGTCTGGCGCTGTAACCAGGTTGGTGGATATGGAGAATCCATCTAGGTAAGTTGGAAAACCCTGATTCCAAACCAATGTTGTACATGAGCTCCAGTATCCTGGCAGAACAAATGGTGCATGAACCAATTGTTGTTCACCGGTTACCATGGGACTGCATCTCCTTATGTTACTCCATTGTCTTGTGGATCAGACTTCTAGATCAAAGGCTCCGGTTGTGGCCCCTTAGGGAAATCACCTACTTCGTTTTGGGCACCCGGTCAGTATTCTAGCCCTCACATAAATCGAATGATTTATGTGGCGCATATCTATTTGGTGCCTTCTTGTAACAATGTTAATGGTTTTCTTGTTTTGTACCACCTTTTATATGATAAAGAAAACAAGCGAAACAAACTGTAATTTAGATGATGTGTAAATATTGAACAATTTTATAAGGACAGGTTTATATTATAGAATTAACAATAGTGAGTTAGATAATCATTATACTTACTTACGCCTGTTACTTCTTTTAGAGAAGTATAAACTGCTCACTAACATTCTCCACTCAACTCTATTCTCAACAATCCTTTTCACTTGTTTACAGTAGCTTTTCATTCTTTGGACCTCTCCTTCCAATTCCCGACGTAATGTTTTTGTTTTTGTTCTTTCTCTTTTCCGTTTCCTTTCACGATTCCAAGTTAGCGCTTGCTTCATGATGTAGTTTGATGATTTCCTCAATGTATTTCCTATCCACTTCTAGTTTTTTTTCTTAATTTCTTCCTCAGCTGGAAGCTGATATGTTCTCTCCCACAACAGTCTGTTGTTGATGGTATAATCATTATTAACCATAAAGAACTTAAACAGACTATTTATTATTGCAATGCAAAACTTATCAACAATGGGCTCTGACAATTTCATCAGGGATCGCACTCATGACTGCTCACTGACTTAGTATCTAATAATTCTCTTTTGAACTTCATATCCAAATAGACAATTCATTTGAGCAAGTTTGAAACAAATGTAACTAATTACATTTGTTCAGAGATATTCTATTTATGATCACAATTCAAAGCAGTCAGTCTTAAACTTATTATGATGTGTTCATGGTAGTAAACTTTAAATCAAGGAAACAAAAATGAAGTCATTCACGGTGATTAGTAGAGAAAATCAGAATGCATGTTCTGTTCCAGTTGAAACTTGTCAGTTGGATGTGCCTGTTCCCTAGTGTTGACATTCCCATTAGGGTTTAAACTAGTTTTCTGGCTATCTTAATTCAATAGTTTAATGAATAGCACTATGATGTGTTGCGTAATAGTTACCATTTTCGACTCTTAGAGTAAATACCAATACCAATTAATGTATATCCCATTAACTTAGTTCCCACTATAATAAAATATCCACTCTAGATTTCAATGTTGTCAGTATTTATTCAAAGGGATCATATGAGAACATTGACTAAATGAGTTCGTATGTCAACAAAGATTGAGCCAACTCTGTTTCCAATGGAGGTACCTAAACAGAAAATTGGACTGGTGGTGGTCTTAGTGACCTGTGAGCATGACTGCAGTGCCCAAGCGACAACTGCTTGAGGACGGCCACACACGACCTTCTTGTGGGTAATTTTCGTGTTAGCTCCGTAATCGCTGAAACCCTACCACCGGAGACAGATATCGTGGGATAAGGCGATGTGTGTATTCCTAGGGCCGACCTTTTCTAACCCCACACGCAGCATCGCTGTTACGCTGGTTGTCTGAAGGAAACACCTTACTACCGTCACACCTCCGTACAGTTGGCAGTACGACTTCGCCTTTGGACCTTGGGTTTGTTACTTTAAGTCTTACCGCTCTTTAACCTACCTGCCTGGTATGGTAGGACCATGAGGAACTACTGTTTCATCACGATAGGCAAGCCCGACCATTAAGTCAAGGTAGCAACAACGGTCGGGCTGTTTCCAATACAAACAATAAGAAAATAGAACTTCTTACAGATAAAACATAATCTTCATTAATATTGTTAATTATTCTATTGAATAATTCAAAGATATTATAGACTGAAATAATTAAATATAAATTATATGATAATTGTTATATTCCATATGTTTTATACTTAGCAATATGCAATATTGGTTGTCATCCAGTTCATGGAACTTGTTCAAGACCAGGAGAATGCGAGTAAGTTGATGATTATCTCTAATGAATTTTAAAAAAGATTGACTAATTATATAGAAAAAAACTGATTAGTCATGGAATAGTGGCCAATGTTATATTTATCAGTATTGGGTTGTAGAGATTATTAAGTTCTTGATTGAGATCATGAACCCGGTTGATGTTTGACCACCATTGAAAACCTGGAAGCACTGGACAGCCATTTCGTCTTATTGTGAGACTTCTTAGCAGTGCACATTCACAATCACGTTTGAAGGGATTCAAACACAGAGCCTTCAGTCTCGCGAGCGAATGATTAACCTCTAAACCAGTGGAGCTAATCCTTATCGGGTAGAGACAAGTATCTACCTTAGTACAATGTTAGATGGTCGCGCAATTTCGTGGATTGATTGGATACCGGCTCAACGGTCTAGAGGTTAAGTGTTCACATATGAAACTGGAGACTTTGGGTTCTCGTTCTTTCTGGTGTGAGATTGTGGATAGGCACTGCTGAGGAGTACCATCCTAGAACAAAACAACCGTCCAATACTCTCAGGTTTTCCATGATGGTAGCCTAGTTTTAATCGACTCATCAACTCAACTATTAAATCAATTTTAATTTTTTTTTCTTTTCTTTACGAGTGAAGTAATTATCACCCTACACCTCCTCGCCCCCTCCCCCCTCCCCCTAAAATATAATTTTTTACAAAAAGAAAGCAAATAAACAAATTACCGATAATATACATTGATTAGTTTTCCTTCATAGAACTGTAATAAAATGATAATTAAAATTGTTGGTCAAAATATTTTTGGCTTGTTTACTTGTCTACTGTTGATAAACTGATAACTGTTTTGACACATTTTTTTTGATTGAGATTAGGAATCGATTAATGCTAAACCAATAATGAGAATCTAGAAACACTGGATAGCTGTTTCGTTCTAGTATAGAACTCTTCAACAGTGTATATCCATGATTCCGTATGCGGGATTCGAACCCGGAATCTTTGATTTCATGCATGAACATTTAATCTCTGGGCCATTCGATCGGTATCCAATGATGCATGTGATGTGTACTATTTATATTGACACAAGTAGTATATGATGTTAGTCGTGAACAAAATGTCTGGCAGCAGAGAAACAAGAGGATCGAACAGTAAAGAATGGAAACACGATACCATTTGTATGAAAATGTAAGAACAATGAAGTCTGAGTCATTTTGAGACAATTGATAGACATTTTACAAATTACGTATTTACTTTATGATTGATTGTTAGATTATATTAACAAGTCCTGTAATTTTGTGTTAGATACATTCGATTGTCCCCGCCCGTGCTCTGTTCACTACGGTGCGCATTGTTGAGGAGTTTCATACTAGGACGATACAGGAGTCCAATGTTTCCAGGTTTTAAATGGTGATTTTACATTGATCGATTCATGATCTTAATCAAAACTTAACTGTCTCCATAGCACTATACTGTCTCCTATTTCCCAATTACTCGTAAAACAAAAAACGAACATAATAAATAAATGAATGTTATTGATGAGTGAATAGAGTATAAATATCTATCCAAATTGTATATATGATATATACATCATTCAAATTAAATGGATAGAAAAACACTAATCACTTCTCTAGTCATTGAATTAGTAGTTAACAGTGAAATCTAAAAGATACATTTGATTCTAATTCACTTGGTATTGTTTGGCTTGTATCTTCTCATTGAGGTTTAAGACTGCAATTGATCAGTGTGTTATTGGCAAATGTGCATACCGTGCGTATACCTCGATAGTGCCTTGATTCGCAAGCTATTTGTAAGCAATGATGGATAGTGCAAGCCAGTATGCACGTTTCAAATTTGAACTTCACCCCATTGCACAAGCAGATGGCTATCAGGACTCAGTAGCCAAGTGGATAACGCGATGGCGTTTGAAGCAAATGGTACTGGGTTCGAGTCCTGGAGTGAACATCAACTAGGGGATGCAGGCACATCCAGCTGACGAGCTCTAAACAGGACGAAATGTGCATACTGGATTCCACTGCTAGCCACTATCCATCATTGCTTACATTTGATTCTATTTGAAATTAGTTCATCGAATGTTGTCAATGTAGAATTTCATATATCTACAGGTAACTTTCTCAATTCTGTTCCGTAATACTATTTAATCAGAGTTTGGGTGCAACTAGAAAGGTAATAAGGAAACTTAATTTAATGTTTGCTACTTAATCTATCTCTAAAATCTCAATTAACATGCTGAGTACCAGAATACGAAGGAAATATCAATTAGTCAGTCAGCTACAACATAGGAACAGGCACATATATACATCAGTCGAAGTTGCCATACCTTGTTAGCACAACAAGATGAACACCAAATTGATAAAAGTAGTGACTTCAATGGTAGTAATATATAAAAGTAAGATTGTGTATAAGGATACAGTACAGTAAGAAGGAATCAGTCCGTAGAAAGGAAGATATGAAGTGATTTCAATCTCATAGTTTAAGGGAAGATAGAGAGTGTATACACCTACTCCATTGTGATCGATTGTGAGCCATGTCACCCACAATCTCCAACCATTGGTTATGATAGCTACACAGACCCCAACCGAGTAGTCTGCATCTCCCAACATGGCTCAGACCAGAAGTTAGTGACTTCAAGCAATGATGTCACGTTTTGGTTTGGCCACCCCTAACTTTCTTTCAACTGTCTCTAATACTAGTCAGCATTGAGCGTCGTGGTTATGTAGTCAGTTACAAAGGATAAGAGTAAAACCTACACACATATTGAGTAACGATCGTTAATTCAGTAAAATCAATAATTATGATCATCAGTCATATTTATATAAGAAGAATATAGTTTTCATTAATTGACGGTTAGATAAAGTCAAATCACATCTAGATTAAATTAAGTCAGAGTAGTGAATGTTTACAATTAAGTTACGATTGGTCACTATAGTTGTGAATATAACTATGACACTCATTCTGAGTTATTAAGCATACAAGAAGAAACAAGAAAGGATATGTATTATTGGATGTTAAAGTTTGCATTTTATTGTTGTATATATATATTTAGAATTGAATTTATTAATCTCGGTTGATATTTGTGGTCATTTCACTCTGATGAAGAATGTGTAACCATCGAGGTGTGTGTTGATTTCGGTGGTCGACATCTTTTTGTAGCTCTGCTTATCTTACTTACTTACACCTGTTACTCCTCATGGAAGAGTATAGGTCATCTACAAGCACTCTCCACCCAACCCTGTCCTGAGCAATCCTTTCCAACTCTTTCCAATTTTTATTCATCCTTTTTATATCTGCTTCTGTTTCCCGACGTAATGTGTTCTTCGGCCTTCATCTTTTCCGCTTCCAATTCCAACGCCATTTCCTAATTTCCTCTTCAACTGGAAGCTGATTTGTTCACTCCCATATTAGGCTGTTGCTGATGGTATCCGGCCAATGGATATTGAGTATGTTGTGTAGACAATTATTCATAAATACTAGTACCTTCTTGATGATGGTTGTAGTAGTTCTCCAAGCCTCAACTCCGTACAGTGAAACTGTCTTGACGTTGGTATTGAAAATTCCCACTTTGAAATTGGCTGACAGACAATGGGTTTGAGTTCCATATATCATTAATTCATTCGGCAGTATGTGATAAAGACAAGCATAGTATCACATATATTAAGAGCGAAAATGGATAGTGGCTAGCAGTGGAATCTAGAACGCGCGTTTCATCCTATTTGGGACTCTTCAGCTGGATGTATCTGCATCTCAGAGTAGATTTTCACTCCAAGACTGGAACCTAGTACTATTCACTTTAAATGCCATCGTGTTATCCACTTAGCTACTGAGTCCTGATAGCCATTGTTTGTGCAATAAAGTGAAGTTTAAATTCACTTGGTATTGTTTACTTGTGTCTTCCTCGATTGCCTCGATATCGAGGCAAAACATACAGTATGCACATATAGCAATAAGAGATTGATCAATTGCAGTTCTAAACATCAATAGGAAGATGCAAACAAACAAATTTAAGTGAATTTTAACTTCATCCCATTGCAAAAGTAAGTGGTTATCAGGACTCACTAGCTAAGTAGATAGCACGATGGTATTTGAAGCGAACGGTACTGAGTTCGAGTCCCAGAGCGAACATAAACTCTGAGATGTAGGTACATCCAGTTGACGAATCCCAAATAGGATAGAACGCGTGTCCTGTATTCCACTGCTAACCAGTATCTATCTTTGCTTATAATGTTTATGAATTAAGGCAATATCGAGGCAATACACACAGGATACATATATGTCAACAAGAGAGTGATCAATTGGAGTCTTAAACCTCAATGGAAAGATTTAAGCAAAACAATACCAAGTGAATTTATCACATTTATTGGGTTTTTTTCTGTTTAATTCTACTCAAATTAACTTTCATTTTTCACTTACTCATTCTACACATTATCTTTCTTTATAAGTTGTTCAACTGGTTGGCAAGGTCCACTTTGTGATGAATGTATAAAATATCCAGGATGTAAACATGGAACATGTAATGATGCACCATTTACATGCCGTTGTTTACCTAATTGGGGTGGATCATTTTGTGATCAAGGTCAGTTAATGTTAGATATAATAATAACAATAATAATAATAATAATAAAATCAGCTTTCCTCAATACATTAACGAATTCACAAGGGAAAATATAGAAAACTGTTTAAAATATGCCTACTTTTTAGGGATTTAAGTAGTGAATATTACATAATTATGTGTGATTACATGATAACATGTATAGAAACCATTTCATAATGTTTCTGATTGAGATCATGAACCGATTGATGTCAGATCACCATTGAAAAACTGGAAGCGCTGGACAGCCGTTTCGTCTTATTTTAGGACTCCTCAGCAGTGCTCATTCATGATCCCGCTCGCAGGCTTCGTTGAGGTTAGACATAAATACCTTTAGATGCCGGTCTAGAGTTTAGACGTCCGCATCCGAGGCTGAAGGTCTTGGCGTCGAATCCCGCGGGGCGGGCTCGAGGATACGCACTACTGAGGGGTCTCACGGTAGGACGAAACGGACTTTCAGTGCATCCAGGATTTCAATGGTGATCTATAATCAATCGGTTCATGATCTTAATCAAAAGCTTTATAAACTCCACAACCTTATACTGATATTTCATAATGTATCATCATGTTCTTATTAAGAATTAGATTTATAGTGCATCTCTCAAAGAATGTGTTAGGTCCCGATAAGTATAATGAATGGTAATTTTCGGGATCCATTTATGAGTTATAACAGAATGCTATCACATATGATGTTTTAATTTAATCACCATTGTGAATGATCTAATATTACAGAGTACTTCACTAAATATCATTAGGTTAGAATCAACCAGTATGAAGGTGTTAAGATAAATTTGTACTAGTTGACACCCTCCCCCTAGTAACTAGATATATCTGTGCTCTTGGAGAAATTGATGCTTCTTGTAAAGTTCAAATCCTGATTTTTATAGTTAGAGGATATTCTCACTTAGACTATTCAAGCAGTAGCCAACTTACTGAGTTATTAAACGTAGTCAATCAGACAGAATCAATCAACTTTCTATTCGGCAACCTTTAGTGTTAACTGAATTCAAGATGAAACTCGTTCATGTCAACACCATAGGTTTATACTTACTTATATGATTCATTCATGTACATCAATACAAATAACACAATAGAGTATTCTATTCTAATTCTATTTTCTGTTTCATTATTCACTAAATGAATACATAGATCTGGATTACTGTGGACGACATCAACCATGTTTAAATAATGGAATATGTAGAAATTTGAATTCATCATATTCAAAACCATTCAGTTGTAGTTGTACACGTGATTTTACCGGAGAATATTGTGAAATAAGTAAGATTTTAATGTATAATTCTTTTGATTAAATTATTCATTGTTAATTGATTTAGAAATTTATTACATACTTACTTACGTCTGTCACCTCTCGTCGAGGATGAAAGATCATCAACAAGGATTGTACATTTAACTGTTTCCTGGACAATCCCTTGTCTACAATTGCTACTCATCCTCTTCATGTCCGTTTCCAATTCTCGATGCAATGGGTTCTTTTGTTTTCTTTTTTTTCGTTTCCCTTCACTATTCCAAGTTAGCGGTCGCGTTGTGATGCAGTATGATGGTTTCCGTAATGTATGCCCTATCGAATTCCATTGTCTTTTCCTAGTTTCCTCTTCAGATGGAATCTTATTTGTTTTCTCTCTCAGTGGGTTATTCCTGATGGTATCCCAACAATGAACATCGAGTATCTTGTGTATACAAATGTTTAGAAATAGTTGTACCACCATGATGATGATTGTAGTAGTTCTCTGAGCTTCACCTCCGTACGGTAGAACTGTCTTGACGTTCGTATTGAGGATTCACACTTTGACATTGACTGACAGACAGTTGTTTTGAGTTCCATATGTTCTCTAGTTGTAAGAAAGCTGCCCTTACTTTATTAACCCTTACCCTTACGTTTGCATATGGTAATCTTTGTTCATTGATGATGCTGTCCAGGTACGTGAAAGTGTCCACCTGTTCCAATGTTTCTCCATCGAGTGTGATTGATTTTGTTGGTGTTCTCCGTGTTGTATTTGACTATCTTGCCTCTTACTTTGTGTATGTTGAGTTCTACTGATTCAGAGGCTGCTGATACACTTTTTGTCTTGACCGGTATTTGTTGGTATGTATTGGATAGAAGGGCTAGGTGATCTGTGAAATCCAAATCGTCTAGTTGCATTCAAGCCGTCGAAATTTGTTAGTATAAATTTATCTGCCAAATAAGGAGTTTATATACTCACTTTCGAGTTATTAGATTTTTCTCAAGGCTAACCGACTCCTCATAACGAAGTTGAATGTGGGTAGTAGTGTTAGAATGTTAGGTTAACTTCTTAGAACTCGAAAGTTTAACAGAAGAGCTATTGTCCTCGACGGTGATAAGTAACAATAAATGTGCTCATAAAACTTTTCTGAGAACTTGATGTTGGAGTCTATGGAATTTCGATTTTTGATTTTCTTGAAATTCATTAATTACTTGTGTTTACTTGTATTTAAGTGTATGTCGGCACTGCAAACAACTACCATAAATCGAACATCTAATTTACGACCTGGATGATCCGGATTTGAAACTTACAAGATCCATCTGTTTACTTACGATTGTTGATTACCTTTAATCTAGCAATATCAATATAATAAACCCATATTGCCATTATTATGATTATATCAATGACTATACTCACTTTATACTGTTGAAAAAGTCAAATAAGGGAAAATTTATCTTAAAATCTCTATGATGTATCAATGTTGGATAATAAATCAACATACACACTGAAATAGACAGGATAAGATGGATTGTTGAATAAATCAAAAGACCGGATTATGATTGTTCTAACCCGACCAAATAAATACAAATAAGATGAGAAGTGAAACGTGAAATCTTCATTTGCAATTTCATGAATCATCTGACAAAAATCAGATCAACCATTAAATTCATTTGCATACACTGTTAATGAATCATAAAGAAGACGATACATGAGGTCAAATACCTGTTAGGTTTCATTTATTATTTATTTAATGTTAGTTTATAGATAGTTCTCTTCA